TTTTTGGGATTTTTTGGGGAATTTTTGGGATTTTTTGGGGGAATTTCTGGGATTTTTTTCGGGAATTTCTGGGATATTTTTCGGGAATTTCAGGACACTTTTGGGGGGAATTTTTTGGGGGGAGATTCCCGGATTTCGGGGTCCCCTCCCCCCCCCTGAAGCCCCCGTTTCCCCTCCCCCAGCCCTGAGCCCGGCGCTGAATTTGGCCTCGCAGTGTTTGACGCTCTCGGGGCTCTTCTCACCCCAGACCATGTGAGTGACACCAGTACAAACCAGTACAGACCAGTACGGACCAGTACAAACCAGTATGGACCAGTATGGACCAGTGTAAACCAGTATGGACCAGTATAAAACAGTATGGACCAGTGTAAACCAGTATGGACCAGTACGGACCAGTATAAACCAGTACAAACCAGTGTAAACCAGTATGGACCAGTACGGACCAGTATAAACCAGTATGGACCAGTATGGACCGGTATAGACCAGTATAAACCAGTACAAACCAGTATAAACCAGTACGGACCAGTATAAACCAGTATGGACCAGTGTAAACCAGTATGGACCGGTATAGACCAGTATAGACCAGTATGGACCGGTATAGACCAGTATAAACCAGTATAGACCAGTATAAACCAGTGTAAACCAGTATAGACCAGTATGAACCAGTATAAACCAGTATGGTCCAGTATAAACCAGTATGGACCAGTACAAACCAGTATAGACCGGTATAAACCAGTATAAACCAGTATGGTCCAGTATAAACCAGTATGGACTAGGCCAGACCAGTATAAACCAGTATAGACCAGTCCCGACCAGTATAGACCAGTTTAATCCAGTATAGACCAGTATGGACCAGTTTAAATGAATCCAGACCAATCCCGACCACTATAGACCAGTATAGACCAGTATAAACCAGTACAAACCAGTTCAGACCAGTATGGACCAGGATAAACCAGTAGAAACTACTCCAAACCAGTATAAACCAGTCGAGACCAGTATAGACCAGTACAAACCAGTATAAACCAGTACAAACCAGTATAAACCAATCCTGACGACTATAGACCAGTATAACCCAGTATAGACCAGTAAAAACCAGTACAAACCAGTCCAGACCAATCCCGACCACTATAGACCAGTATAACCCAGTATAGACCAGTATAAACCAGTCCAGACCAGTATAAACCAGTACAAACCAGTCCAAACCAGTCCAGACCAGTACAAACCAGTACAGACCAGTACAAACCAGTATAGACCAGTACAAACCAGTATAGACCAGTACAAACCAGTCCAAACCAGTTCAGACCAGTCCAGACCAGTATAAACCAGTACAAACCAGTCCAAACCAGTTCCTCTCTAACCCCGCCCCTTTTTTTCTCTTCCAGGTGAGATTCGGCTCCGCCCCCTCCCCCCCTCTCAGGCCCCTCCCCCTTTTTGTGAGGGGGGCGGGGAAAAGGGGGCGTGGCCTCAGCGCTGGCCCCGCCCCCCCAATCCCCTCCCCCCCCCTTTTCCCAGGGTTTGGAATTTTGGGGGAAAATTTTTGGGAATTTTTTGGGGTTTTTTTTTTGTTTTTTTTTTGTTTTGTTTTTTGTGGGTTCCGGAAATGGGAAAAGTTACCAAAAAAAAAATTAAAAAAAAAAATTAAAAATAAAAAAAATTTAAAAAAATTAAAAATAAAAATCGTAAAAAAAAAATTTAAATTTTCGGCGAGTCTCATTTGCATGAATTTGCATAAGGGGGCGGGTGGGCGTGGCCACGTTGCCAAAAAAATTTCTTCCATTATTTAATTAATTAGCGTCCCTGGATGACGTCATTCCCAAGTGGGCGTGGTCAGGGACTCGTTTAAATTTTTTTATTTGCTTCATTTGCATAAAATTTGCGTATTTGCCAAAGTGGGCGTGGCCGCCTGCTGTCGATGACGTCATTGGCGCAAAT